AAGCCTCCATGAGCTCTACGTGCAAGCCAAGGACCATGGACCCTCAGCTGTGGCCGTGCACTGCCGGGTGCTGGTGCATCTCCTCGATGTGAATGACAATGCACCAGAGGTGACCCTCACATCTGTGTCCACGCCCGTGCTGGAGGATGCCCCACCAGGCACCGTCATCGCTGTCATCAGTGTTCTGGACCGTGACTCTGGGGACAACGGGCGTGTGAGCTGTGAGGTCGGCCCTGACATGCCCTTCGAGCTCCGCTCCTCCTTCCACAACTACTACACACTAGTCACCACGCAGGCGCTAGACCGGGAGGTTGTGCCCGAGTACAATGTAAGCATCACGGCACGGGACATGGGCTCACCTGCTCTGCTGACCCACAGCACCCTCACCGTCCCGGTGTCCGATGTGAACGACAATGCTCCACACTTCCTGCAGCCCTCCTACAGCGTCTATGTGATGGAGAACAACGCACCAGGTGCCTCCATCTGCTCCGTCAGCGCATTGGACCCTGACTGCCAACAAAACGCCTACCTTTCCTACTCCATTGCTGATGGGCACATCCATGGCATGCCTGTGGGCACGTACGTGTCTATCAACTCGGACAGCGGGCACATGTATGCCCTGCGCTCCCTTGATTATGAGCAGATCCGCAGCTTCCAGATCCAGGTGCAAGCACAGGATGCGGGTTTCCCCCCACTTAGCGCCAACGTCACCGTCCACATCTTTGTGCTGGACCAGAACGACAACGCTCCAGTCATCGTTTCCCCCATGCCGCGCAATGGCTCTGTGGCTACTGAGCTGGTGCCGCGATCAGCCGGGCCTGGCTACCTCGTGGGCACTGTGTCAGCGGTGGATGCGGATGCGGGGCTGAACTACCAGCTCCTCCAAGCCACTGACTTCACCCTCTTCAGCTTGGCACCCGACACAGGTGAACTGCGCACCCTCCGCTCCTTTCTGGAGCAGGATGCAAGCCGGCAGCGGCTGGTCGTGCAGGTGCGTGACAGCGGGCAGCCCGCCCTCTCAGCCACCGTGTCCCTCGTGCTTTCAGTGGTGGAGACCATGCCTCAGACTCTCTCTGACTTCAGCGAGTTCAGCCTCCCCCCAGAGGACTCCTCATCCTCCCCACTCACTCTCTACCTCCTTGTCTCCCTGGGCTCCATCTCCTTCACCTTTCTCCTCGCCATCCTCATCCTCACAGCCATTCGGTGCCGTGGAGAGCGGCGCTCCTGCCAAGGTGGCAGCTGCGCACTGCCCCGCTGCCAGTGCTGCCCCAGGTCCAGACCCTCCCCTGATGGCCTGAAGACGTCCAACCTTATGGCACAGCCCTCCACAGGGACCACTTGCCTCAACGTGCCTGGGGGTGGCCCCCCAGGCTACTGCTACAAGGTCTGCCTTGGTCCTGAGTCTGCCCAGAGTGACTTCATGTTCCTCAAACCCTGCAGCCCCCCTCCAAACAACAAGAAGGACCCTGGGAAGTGGTCCCATCCTGGCCAGCATCTCCAGGTCTCCAAGCAGGTAATGCCGTGCTTGTCGGTGCTTACTGGCGCTCCACAGGTCGCCCCAGCCCCCTCTCTCAGCCTCTGCCATGAGAGAAAGCAGGCGCAACTTTTCCCAGAGAATAACTGGCGCCTTTGATCAGTACAGGAATTGGGAGCTGTCAGGCAGTGGGAAACTCTCCACTGAGCTTCCCGATGGGTCTAATTATGAGGGGAGTGTCAGGCTGGGTTGAGGTGAGAGGAAATCCTTTCCTGCTGCTTTTTGCGCCCATTAAAAGCAATAGAGATGCTCCGGTGTTCAAGGCCAGGCTGGATGTGGCTTTGAGCGGCCTGGTCTAGTGCAAGGTGTCCCTGCCCATGGCAGGGGGGTTGGAACTAGATGATCTTTAAGGTCTCTTCCAACCCAAACCCTTCTATGATTTTTCTATGATTCTATGATGGTGGGGGTGGCATCTCCTTTGTGTGTGCGAGCAGTTCATGCTGGGACAAAGTGAACATTGCTGCTACTACGCTTCCCCCATGCCAGCAGGACTCTGCAGGATCCCGCTGCTGCACCCAGGGCTGGTCCTGATGCACTGGCACCGCTTGTGTCCCCAGTTCTGGCGCCCAGGCCTGGCAGTTGTGCCACACCGGGCTGCACCGGCAGGGAGGGAGTGGGGTCTTCTGGGCTGGATTTTAATGTCAACATTTGTTAGGTACTGAAATGAGGAACGTCTGATTTTTGCAATGAAAGACTCTTTCTGAAACACGATTACAAGGATGGAGAGTGATGAGGCGTCTAATCCACTTACATCTGACTTTTAACAAAACAGCCCTTGCAAGGCGAGCCCAGGACTCGCTGCCAGGAGGCTCTCCCTGCACGTCTCTGCACCGCTGGACTCACTTCTCTATTACGTTAATGGGATTTTCCCCTTGTTGTTTTCAACCCCCCTGGGACATTGGGTATGCAGCCAATTTCCACACCTCTTGCCCTTTGGTGCCTGATGCCTGGGCTGAGTTACCATCGCACCCACAGAAAAGGCTTTTTAAAATTAACAGAAATAGGAAAAACCCCTCTCTCCCAGGTAGGACAGACCTTGGCAATTAAACTCTCAGGGACAGAGAGCAAGGCCCAGACAACCCCAGTTCTTAGGAGGGTGGGGAAGGTCCAGAAGGGAACAGGCTGGTTCAATGCTGCCTCAGTTTCCCTAAAATGGGAATGTGTTGCTTGCTTCTCCACAAAGGAGGAGGTAGAGTCCTGCATCCCTGGCTGCTGAAGCCTTGTGCTGGCAGGGCTGGGCTGATTAAAAGAGGGTCCCAATAACCAGCCTTGCCCTTCCCTGTGTTTTCCAGATCAAACAGCCCAACATGGATTGGCTGCCTCCCAGCACACAGCGACCTACCCTGAAGAGGTACCAAATCCACCACTGTGGGAGCAGGGGGAGTGGGTGGAAGGGGATGTGGGGACAGGGAGGTTATCTCCAATGTACCTTTGAACTAGTTTCCTCACTTTAGCTCCCAGAGCCTGGAGGACGTGGGGGAAATCCGCAGAGCCCTCCAGAAGGAGCACGAGAGGCTGTGCACACTGGTGACCCCTGTCTCTGGTTAGTACTGGGGTGCTGGGAAGACCAGACCTTCTTGTCGCTTAGTGGAGATGCAGTGGGGGGGACACATCCCTACTCTTAGCAGTGGTAAGAGTTTTGTGGTGTGGAAGGGTTGTCCAGGCCCCAGAAGGGAGGATGGTGATACATGGATGTCACTGTCCCACTGATCTATGGACGTGATCTCCCCTGAGCCAATCTCACACTCTTCTTTCCTCCAGAGTTTCAGAAGGCTTCAGCAGGCTCCAACAGCACCTGGACATCCCAGTACAGCCCCTTGTACCCGGGACACCTCCCAGGCCCGGATTATCAGCACAATGTCTACATCCCCGGCACGTCCACTCTGCTTTCCAGTAAAGACGGGCCACTCTTCCTGGGCTGGGAGAACAAGAACAGCTTCTCCACCTTTGGCAAGAGGAAGAAGATGACAACTTACTGTGACGTGCATGACAGTGTGGTTATCAACAATGACCTGAAATAGCGCCGGACCTGGGTGGCTCTGCCCAAGGCCCTGGGAATCACTTGCATTATTTCAGCTGCTCAGTCCGCCTGCAGCACACAGCTCCATGTATGAACCACTCAGGGCTTTGCGGAGCTGCTGAGACAGTGGCTCACCAGTGCACGGTGAAAGGATTTAAGGAGCAAGAGACTGAGAAGTGATAGAGATGGGCAGGAGAAGGTGGGGAGGGCATTTCTCCCATCTCATCCTGCAGAGTTGTGTTGGCAGTAGGGGCTGTTGGGGGGCCATATGACCATATTTAAGCAAATCTGCCTTGAGTTTACCCATTCCTGTGTCCTCTTAGGGACCGTCCATCTCTGTAAACATTGTCACTTCTTTGTCTTGTCTGGCTGTGTGAATGTACTGAGCTGCATGCCGGTATTTCTGTCCCAGCAGGCATGGAAAATGTACGCAGACCAAGCCTGGTTCAGTCAAGCCTGACACTACATATGGAGCAGTGACCATTGCTCCATCCATGACATCCAGTGGGATGTGTTGCATGTCCAGAGCAGCCATGGGTGTTTGGCTTCTCCGGGAAGTTAGTGCAAAACCCAGCCATTATGAGTGCTTCCCTTCAAACCCTGACCCAATGTGTGCAGGACTGCAGACCCTAAGCCCAGGACACAGCCAGTCTTTGCTCTGGGAGCAGCATGGGCTGGAGCACACAGATTGGGTGGACAGAAGAGCTGTTGGCTTAAGCAGCTGCAAGATGCACAAGGTGACTCTCTGCCTTGCTTGGTAACTCTCTAGCCCGAGGCAACATCATGTGAAAGAAGGAGAGTTTCCAGCTGTCAGAAGGCCCCCAAAACAGGTGACAGTCCTCCTCCCTTCTCCCCCTGCCCTCATATGTATCTCTGTTTTCCACAGCTGGGGGAACCCCTGCACTGAGGATCCCACCTGCATAGAACAGACAACTCCCACTGCATCCTGCTTCTCTTGGAGGACTTTTAGCTGGCTGTCAGGAGCCCTTAAGGGCAGGACTCCAGCCCCAGAACAGTCTCTCCCCCCGCCCTGCTAACCCTACACCTGTCCACTCAGTCTGTCTGCTAGCATTGCCAATCGCTCCCGTCACGGGACAGTTCATTTCCAACCCATCTGTGCAGAACATGACAGCTCTTCCTAAACTGAGTTTGTTTCACAATGTCTGATTTGTACCAATAAATTGTATTTTAATAACTCACCCTGGCTCCTGGCTGTCCCTGAGCTGCACAGCTCTTGGAGCAGGACTTGGCTTCAACAGACACACATGTCCCTCTGTCCTTCTTAGTTGCTGGAGCAGCCCAGCAGAGCTCATTTAGTTCATTTTGCCCGGGTGCTGGGGGCTCAAGGTCCCTTTCCTTCCTTTCCTGGACTCAGGAGCACTTTGGGGTCATGGCCAGGAGGAGCCATGTGCTGGAGACGTTGCACAGCTCCATGCTTCAGCTTGAGAAGAGACGCTGCAGGGATTTGCACCAAGGCATGGGCGTAAAGGGATGGGGAGAAGGGCTAGATCTGGCAGTAGTGGCTTATTGTTATTACTGTGCCTTGCTTTCTATGGTTCACTTAAGCTTTCCCCTAGATGCTCGCTACCCACGCACTCGCCACAGGAGTCGGAGAGATAACCTGGATGTGTTCCAGGGGCAGGGACCAACTGCCTGGGAATAGGTGAGCCAGTGTCTGCTGGTAGCATGACTTGCAACTTGATGTGGGAAGTGGTTCACCTTTGGATGGAGTCTGAGATGGCTGCACGCCAGCTGTCCTTCTCCTTCCTCAGTGAATGGCTTGGGGAGACTGCAATGCAGCTTTTGGGATTAACCCAGAAAAATCTTTGTCTACAAGTGGGTTACATGCTCTTTGGGGGGCAGGGAACACTCAAAAGGGTCTCGTGGGAGTCAGGGACCCAGGAGGACAGTGCTTTGGACATGAAAGGGACTTGGATGCTTCTGGTAACTGGTCCCAGCTCACATCTGCCTGGCTGCCAGTAGATGAAATATTTCCTGGCCCAATTAGATGGTAGGACAAATGATTTTATGCTGCCTGGTGCATTCTTCAATGGTCTCTGCAGAGTGTTAAGGGTAAAAAAAGAATCCCAAACAGCCACGGCCTGAGACCCCTGTACAGCATTAGCCTGTTTCACTGCTTCAAAGGAACAAGTGAATTATGTAAATTGATACAGCAAAATTAATATCAGCCTCAAGAAGTAATAAAAGTATCAAATGGACCTGGCTTCCTGCGGGGGCAGTGAGCGTCTCCCTCTCCCAGATTAGCTCTGGCAATATCTTCCCTGCCATTTTCAGGCATTGAGAGAGGACTGCAGGCCCTCTCCAGTGAGCCCACAGGGGCTCACCCAGGGTCCCTCTGCTGCAGGGCCAAGCCATTAGCTGTGCTTTGTCTCACACAGCAGAAGTACCCAATACACCTGCTTCATGGCATCCAGGATCTAAAAGAACGCATGGAGCTGGCACATTGTTTCAGGTTCCCAGGTGTTGCTTCCCCAAGGCAGGTCCCAAAATTGATTCTCCAAAACCATAGGCATTTGAAGTTAATGATCTGCACACCTGCCTTAGGAAATTCTTGGGGTTGAGCCACCAAGTGGACAGCTTTTGCCACCTCACTGTGAGTGTCAATCTCCAGTGTGTTGGCATTTTTTAACCCCTACAGCTAAAGCTCAACCGACCCTCAGTAAATTGCTCTCTCTCCTCTCCATTACTCCCGGCTATCCTCAGCCCAGGAGATGAGATACATACACGCATATACCCCCCTGCCCCTCTTGCTGATTCTCAGGTTTGCATGTTCGGGCCAGGACTCTTCCAAATGGGATTTGGGGGTCAACACAATGCCCAGCCCAGGCCACCACACCCCACATTCCCTGAGGATCTCCTTTTGCCTAGCTGAAGGAAGTCCTGCACTGACAAGAGCTCCGTTTCAATCCTTCTTCTCAATGAACATCTTGATGAAAAGGACAATAAAAAGGACTTGCTTTACGGAGGAGGACAGTTGCTTAAACCTAATGCAAACACACTACTACCCCTTCTTCAAAGGGCATGCCTGGTCAGAATCGTCCATCTCATAGATGAGATCTCCTTTGAAGAGCTCCCGCAGGGACAGGGTGTCATTAAAAATGCAAGGTCTTTGCCCTACAACCAGTTATTTTTGCAACTTTTCCTGTGCTTACACTCCTGCACAGTTCATGAGCATTAGCTGGTTTCTGTATCCTGGTAATGCACTGGCCATGAGAGCTTCTCTGGAGACATGCTTGGCAGAACTCTCTCTATATACCCCCCTCATACGTTCCAGCTCTCTTAGAGATCCAGAGGCAAATCTGGCTTTCAGGGACCTGCCAGCCAGCTTGAGATTTGCTTCTACAACAGTGAGGAAGCTGCCGTGTGGTGCAGTTGGCTGCAAAACGCTGCAGGCCATGCTAGGCAGGCACATGGTGCTTCTGGGCACCAGCGCAAATAGGGAAGGTTTTTGTGCTCTTGCTATTGCTGAATAGACTCTTCGGATGGAAACATCACTTATATCTCTGTAATGATTTGAAAGCATCTACCAGAGAGACAAAATTAATCCAGAGGTAGAGAAAAAAGGGGCCAGAGAGAAAGGACCCAGAGGGGCCGGTACTCAGCTCTGCTCGGGTCTGCCACAGATGGAGTCAAGCAGCAACCAGTGAAGCCCCCAGGAATCCTTATCAGGAGCACAGCAGGCTACATGCAGCCAGGTTAGCCTGGGTAGAGCCATGTGTACAGGCGGCCTCAGCTCCCGGCAGGGATCGGCACTGGCAAGAGAGAGATAAAATCCATGGGGATCAGTGGGAGTCCGACCTTGGAGGGTTCTGGATTCAGCCTCAAGTCTGTGGCACTCAGTGGTTAATTAACAGTGAACTCTATGGCACTCAGTGCTTAATTACAGCCTCCAAAGATGCTAGGTCTTTGTTTTCTTCTCTTCGCACCTAAGATGATGCTGGAACAAACATGACTTAATTTAGCCAGGACTGGGTCGAGATTCATCCTGATTTCTTTTCAAGTTGCCTCAGTGTCTTAAATATCTCCTTGGACTCATCCTACAGAACAGCCTGCTCTTCCTCTTACTGCTTCCTGTTTGATCTCAGTTTTGTAGAAATAAATATCCTTTAGCTTTTTTCATAATAATTTAGCCTCTGCCACACTGAAAAGTGGTCTGCATGATTGTCACATGCTGATTTTCTCTGCTCCTTTACACCTTTTGTTTTCTTTACTGCTCTGAAAACATCAGTTGGTAACTTCTCCACAGAGATCAGATAAAGAAACAGGTCTGGCTAAGTGAGGCTTTTTCCTCCCCGGTTTGCCTATAATGTGTTTTCAGTCTGAGTGGTGGAAATGTCACTGATTGTTTGCTGTGTTCACTCTAGTGGAATTAATGCTTCTTGTTAGTGATAATATGACTTAATCAGCTTAATTATTGTGAGACATAAGTAGACACCTTTGTGTATTGAATAACTTATGACATACTGGACCAAAAAGCACAAAGGAAGGCTTTGAAAATAAATTAAATATGACCTCTAGTGCAGTCTGCACTTCGACTAATGATTCATCTCCCATGAAATTAAATTATTTACAAATCTTACATTTGAATAAATGATACGTTTTTGCATGTTTTAAACAATAGCAGCGATTTTTATTTCAGCATTCGGAATTCAAAGTGTTTCTCCAGGAATGCCAATGCCAGGAAGCAGGTCAAACAAGTTCATGTTAAACGGGTTGAAAAATAAAACATTTGTGCAGTCAACCATCAGAAATACATCCCGAGGATCTGCAGGCATTTGTGATGAGATATTTATTTTAATTCATTGCTGGGAATATCTGCAACAACAGGTGAAAAAATTCATCAGAAAAAATGAAGAGAGAGTGAAGATTCCCAGAAGGGTCACTAAGGTACTCACATCAATCTGTTCATTTCAAGAATGTCTATAACAGAAAATATCATTAAATAGCTCCAGAAATGTCTTATTATACATTTTGCCTGCA